AAAAAAACAACGCCTCTTTAATAGGAAGGTGGGTAAGTTTTCCATTTCCAGGTGTTAACCTTAATGATACCGCCACGTTAAAATTGGAGGTTGATTGTAACAAGAAAATCTCGGCGCAAAGGACGCAATTTTCACAATTTAAAATAAATACTCCCCTCGACCCCAGATTCCCCCTCTCCACCCACACCACAGTCAGCTAGCTACTCCAGCAAGGACTGGGGACCGGGAGACTGCAGCTGAGTAGGCGGCGAGGCCACTTGTTGCGGCACCACCAGAGGAGGTAAGATCCACGCGAATCTGGCAAAAAAATTCAGTTAAAATCCCTTTCCCGGATGCGGACGCTCCAGAAGCCGAGGCAGGAGACGAGCAGTGACTCAGTGCCTGCGGGTTTGGTTTGGTTTTGTTTTGTTTTTACTTGAACTCTGGACTATCTTTGCATGAAGTGCTTTGTCTTGCACATCTGGGACTTACTTTGTGCGGTTAAATGCGTGCCCTCCCAACACACACGCAGGGGGTCGCCCCGCCTCGGGGAGGTGAGTGGCACACGTGCCTTGGACTTTCAGTGGCTCTGCTGCTGGGAAGCAGAGAGAGGGGGACGGCCTCATGTGGCTTCTGTGGTGAGGCCAGTAACTCGGAAAGGCCCTCCTCCCGCTGCTTTGGAGGTGGGGAGTGGGGACGGAGGTGCCGTGGCGGTCCCGGGGCACACACCACGCCCGCCGCGGCCAAGGGCAGAGGTGTGTCAAGAGGCAGAGACTGGACCCGGGCAGGCGGGTCCTCGGGATTCCAAGTTCATTGTCTACCCGGTCACGCTGTTGAGAAAATGCGCGACACCCGAGAGGGAGAAAGAGACAGCGACCAAGTGTCCGTGCAGGCCCCGCGCGCCCGGGGAGGAGGACGCAAGGCTGCTCCACGCCCGGCTCGCGCCGCAGTCTCGCCGCCGCCCGGCGGCCACCGCTTCCTAAACCCCCACGGCTGCCGAGACTTTGTCTTCAGCGTCCTCCGGTGGCACCGTCCGGGGTTGGCGGAGCAAACACCGAGCACTAGGGCAGCTCGCTGTGGGTTTGGAATGACCGCGTCTTAAGGCTGTGAAAGGCTGCCCTTGGGGACCTGGGGACGGAGAGGTTAAAGTGAAGAATTTGCCCCGGCTTTTTACATAAAAATGAAGCTGGTCGTTCCGAGAGCTTGAAAGACTCTCTCCTAGGAATGTGGGATGAAGCGGGTGGCTGGGAAGGGGTTAACGCTAGGTTTTGGGCCACTGTGGGAAATGCCCGATTTAAAGAATCTCACCCTCTCAGATCGCGCTCTCCGGAGCTCAACCCAGGTGGAGGCGCCGCTGAGCTCGCGGTCACCTCCTGGCATTAGGACACCTGGCGCTGCCCTGCAACTCCCACGTGCCCGCGGCCAAAGCCCTCCCAGCCGGTTGTCACCAGCCCACCCTCGCCCCTTTAAATGAACTCTTTTCCTTTTTCTTTCATTCCGAGGATAGGTTAACGCCGGCAGAGACCGTAGTGCGATCGGCGGGCACGTCGCCGCCCACACCGCCTCCTCCGCGCCGGGCGCGGACCGCGGGGCTGCCGAGGTAGCCGGGCCACAGCCTCGCGCTGCCTTCCGTACCCTCCCCCGCGGCCCCACCTCGGCCGCGTAGCCGCCCCCGCCGCCTTCCCTCCCCCGCGCTCTCCGTGCCAATCCCGCAGGAACTGGAGGAAGACCAGGTCCCTGGGCCCCTCTTCGTGTGCTGGTTTAGGGGAGTTCACACGATGGCGTCCTGTGACCTCACCGATGCCCGCAGCTTGGGGTCCACCCACGTGGAACCCGCCGGCCCGCGCCGGCCCCCGGCACCAGTCTCAGGCGCTCGGCTGCTGGTGCAGTCCCCTTGAAGCTCCACAGCGCTCCCACCGGTTCCTGCCCAGCCCAGTGATCCTTCAAGCCAGGGTTTGGCCAGTGGGGAAGCCCCTTCCTACCCCTCCCGCACCCCCCAACCATTCCCGGACAAAGCCGCCGAGCTTCCTGCACGGGAGTGAAAAGGAGGCCCAGACATCCAAGAAGAGACGCGCGCGGAGAGCGCCTCCAGGCTCTGGGCCTCAGTGCGGTCCCCGCCCCTAGCCTCCCTGCTGGGTGCCGGGCTGGGGCGCGGGGCAGGCACCCCACCCGCCGTTCCTCCAGCGCCGGCACCTGGCCGCTGCGGCGCTGCAGGAAGGAGGCCCGGCAGCGCCGGTTCTTCCACACCCACGTGCACCTCGTGTGCGCGCCGCAGGCCTGCAGATGCTACCCGGCTGGCGCCACCGGGATTTCTGCGCGGCCCCACCCTCCCTGGCCGCAACACTTCGAGCCCTGCATTTGGAGTCTCCTTGGCGTCTCGCTGCAGCATCCAAGACTAGGCGCCGCCTCTGCAAACCCGGCTGCCCAGCACGCCTGCGGGCCGCTGCCCAGAGCCCCCACCTCCCGCCCGCGTCCGGCACTCACCTTTTCTTGTGGACCATGGGGTTCAGTCACTGCACCCAGGCTTTCAGCCACCACCACGGCCTCCTGGAGGGTGCAGCATGAGGGCGTTCCCGAGGCGCCAGCACCCTCCTTAAACCCTTCCCGGGCTGTCAGCAGCCGGCCACCCTCCCTGACAGTAGGGGAGGCATAGCTCTGCTCCCTCTTTCTTTCTCTCACGCCGGTGCCCACCTATATACGCACACACCTGAACACCGCGAGGCTACGGCCGGTATCTGCCTTTCGAACTCCTAATTCCAACACTATGCATCGCACATCATGTCGCTGACAGCAAGGTGAGGGAGTGGCACTTAAGAATTAGGTGGATTCTTAAAATGTATGAAATAGCCTTCTGCCCCTGGCCATTGCATTTTTAAAAGGATTGTATTTTATTTTTAAAAAGAAATAGCCCCGAGCGTTCTCACATTTGAAATATCAAAGTATTTTGAGATAATCTTAGATTCACATACAGTTGTTCAGAAGCAA